TCCTGAGAACAGGACTGTGTTATCTCCACGCTATCCTAACTTGGTGTGCTCTGATTCTTGCTTTCCGTGTTTTATGTTCTTCTTTGGACTTTGCAGCCAGATTGTCATTTCCATAGCCCGCAGTATCTGCAGGCTGCTTCTGATGCATTTTCTGCCTGATGGCCTATTTTGCCTGCATTTGTCGGCTAGACTCATGTCACCTACAGTTAAAATACAGAATTTAGAGTAGCTGTTTTCTTCAATGCTACTTGCAAGCCCTTAATATATTTTTTTCGAATTTGTAAAAGTAGTATGTAAATAATACATGCCTTGTAGATAGTGTAAAAAACCTGACAAAGTGTAAGCAAACAAAAACTACTCTTCAGTACACAGAGATAAACTTATTAACAACTGGGTTTATCCAGCATTTTTTATCTTCATGTGTTTCCATTTTTGTCATCCAACTATTAGTGCATTTATTTATTTATTTATTTATTTATTTATTTATTTGGGTTTTTTGAGACAGGGTCTTGTTTTGTAATTCAGACTGACCTTGAACTCCCTAGATAGCCTAGGCTGGCTTCGAACTTGCTGCAGTCCTCCTACCTCAGCCTCCTAGTGCTGGGATTGATTACATGTGTGTACCACCAGATCTGGCATCATTTTTTTTTCCTCATTGACTTTATTGGTATGTTTTAGGTATACAGTACAGTTACATTCATTATTGGGATCTTGTACCTTCATATGACAGGTCTTGGTTCTCATTTTTTCCCCTTGTCCCTGCCCTCCCTTTACTGCTCCTCCCCTCCCCATTTACAAACACTTCATTTCCATTTCTTCATTTTCTCATATTTTTTTCTTTTCCCTTATTACCTTTCCCCTACCCTTCCCACTTTCCCTACACCTTTAGTCCCTTTCTTCCTATTTCACATTGTCCATTATATCATTAGGATCTCATGTACTTTATAGTTTATTCACACCAGAGAAACTATTCAGTATTTACACGTGTGACTTACTTATTTCACTTAGGAGTATTTCCTCAATATGTATCCATTTTCCTATGAATGTATCTAATTTCTTATTCTTTATGGCTGAGTAATATTCCATTTTATAGAAAAACCACAACTTCTTTATCCAGTTTCCAACGGATGGGCAAATAGGTTGTTTCCAAGATTTAGCTATTACAAACTGTGCCGCTATAAACATGGGTGCACATACTTCTCTGTGATATGATTCTTTTAGTTCTCTTGGAAAGATACCCAACAGAGGGATGGCTGGGTCAAATGGAACCTCCAGTCCAAGCTCTTTGAGGTATCTCCATATTGATTTCCATAGTGGTTGCACTAGTCTGCACTCCCACCAACAATGGAGGAGGGTTCCTTTCTCCCCACAACCCCGCCAACATTTGTTATTGTGTGATTTCTTGATAGCAGCCATTCTTTGTGGGGTGAGGTGGAATCTCAGTGTTGTTTTCATCTGCATCTCTCGAATGACCAGTGATGTGGAACATTTTTTCATATATTTTCTTGCTGCTTTCACTTCTTTGTATGAGAAATGTCTGTTCATTTCGGATGCCCATTTTTGGATCGGGTCTTTATATTTGGGGGGACTGATTGTTTTGAGTTCTTTATATATCCTTGATAATAGTCCTTTGTCTGAGGTACAGCTGGTAAAAATTTTTTCCCACATTGTAGATTGTCTCTTAGTTCTGCTGATGGTTTCTTTTGAAGTACAGAAGCTTTTTAGTAAGATGAGATCCCAGTTGTTGATTCTATCTGCTAGTTCCCGTGCTACTGAGGATTTGTTCATAAAGTCTTTTCCTATACCAATGTCTTCCAGAGTTCTGCCTAACTTACCTTCCAGCAAGTTTAATGTTTCTGTTTTAATATTTAGATCTTTAATCCATTTGGATTTTAATTTAGTGCATGGCGAAAGATAAGGGTCTAATTTTAATTTGTGGCAGGTTGACATCCAGTTTTTCCCACACCATTTATTAAAGAGGCTATCTTTCCTCCACTGAGGATGGTCAGCTCCTTTGTCAAAGATGAGGTAGTTGAGTACATCTGCATTTGTTTTTGTGTCTTCCAGTCTGTTCCACTGATCCTCAGGCCTATTTCTTTGCCAGTACCATGCTGTTTTTATCACAGTGGCTTTGTAGTATAGTTTCAAATTGGGAATTGTTACACCTGGTGCCATGTGTCTGTGGCCTAAAATGGCTTTTGCTATTCTAGGTCTCTTACGGTTCCAAATGAATCTAAATTTCTTATAAGGGCTTCTGTGAACTGGTCCATATGTATACAGCTCTGGGGCTCCATCCGTCCCCTCCCAACTGTGGCCTTATTTTTACATGCTCTTTTTTTTTTTCTTTTTGGTACCAGGGATTAAACACCTTGTGCTTTTGAGGCAGGTGGCAGCATCACTGAGCTAAATCCCAGCCCCTTACATGCTCTTTTCTGCAGTAAAGAATGCTGTTTTTTCTAAGCCTTTACACTTGCTTTTTGCTTTGTCCAGCATAGAGCATTCTTTACTATCTCCCCTTGACCATCTTCTAAGTTATGATTGATCATCTTTTATGTTGAACAGCTGAATGGCTGTTTATTCTCTGTCTCCTTTTCTAGCCTAGATTCTCTTGGTACTTCATAGCGCCTTACAGAGCACATTTACTCAGGACTGCTTTACAGCCTTACGTGTTTCTGAGGACCCCAAAGAGCTTTTGCTTATCTAATATTTACTGAATTATAAATGAAAGTTAAAAATTTAAAGATTATTTTGAAGTTAAACCCATTACCTGTTATTTTGCACAGAAACATTACTCAGAAGGCAAAAAGTGGGAAAATGGCACAGTGTTTGCATTTTTGCAATTGCCTTTTATGTCTGAGTGGATAAAATACAGCTGCATGTGCCCATCTGCCTGTTTTCAATTTGTTCTGATATACTTCATGTTGCCTCTGGAAACCTCTGCTGTATGTACCCTTCTTACCCTTCTGAGAGGATGAGAATTAGCAAAAAAAAAAAAAAAAAAA